GGGGGGGGGGGGGGAAGAGAAGAGTGTTTCAGAGAGAGGGACAGAGGTCGAGACCGACACAAAGGTAGAACAAAGGTGAGGTGAGTACTGTGAATAGTCGAATATGACATACAGTGGGGTGTAGGTAGTTTGAAGTGAGAAGTCAATTGCCAGTTAATAGACTTCGCGTATGAGTATATATTGCCCAGTGGTGCACCACGTGGAAGTAAGTCTATCGCACACCCCGAATCGCCTGATATAAATTAAGCATGTCTTTATAATCGATAGTAAGCCATCCGTGCGGACCGTGGGTTACGTAAACATATTCGAACAGACGATATTGCAGTCCGTCTGTGACGTTAGTTGCACCTTTTTGTGAGAGAGAAAAAAGCTGTTGCTCTCTCATATACTAAGTGATCTAAGTAATCCATTTCCATGAATATTTTTCGATATTCATCTCAAGCGGAACAGAGAGCTCTTGGGGCTCTGTTTGACTACTTTTGAGCCTAAACGGTCATCTCGTTCTTCATTGTGGACATATTGGTGGGTTTCGAACCCTTCAAATACGATTTGACAGATGTTATCATTTTGAAACGGGACTATTATGCTATTTTATTATGTCGCTTTTCTTCTAGTGGATAAATTCAGATGAGATAAGTGCTTTGTTTCAACACAATGATAAATGATTGGTCGTGCTTTCAAATAGCCGATAGAGCTGTCTAAGTGTAAACAATTTAGTCTTAGGAATTGAAAATCGCTTGAAATTGAAACGTGTTACCTAGAAGGCCTTTAAAAACTAATCCTTGGTGGTGATTGTGTAAATCAAATTAAATTTAGGAGATCAACTGCGTAATATGCTAGCTTACGGAGAAATTAGCTGATGCGCAATTATTTCCAGATATCCCAAATCTTGCATATTGCTATTTTATTCTCTATCTAGCCAGGCGATTTTTAATCCGATGTAATAATCAATAATGAGGTGTGTATTTGTGAAGAATGTCATGGGTCCTATTGTTTTTTTTTTAAATTTTAAGCTCTTTGATTTGTCCACTTTCTTGAAAAGAGTGTACTCTGCTTGGGGGAGGGGGGGGGGAGTAACGTTGTTCAAGTAAACCTACTACTTAGCCCACAATTTCATGAGTGACTTCATTTCCTCAATATTCAGACCTCGTTCAGTAGTTTGAGGGGTTCCTCAAAATTTCTTTCACTTTTTGCGCAACATTGCCTTTTAATTCGTTTCGATAAATGTCGTGCTTCCAATCGTTTCGATTGGCGAATATTGAAGAGGCGAGTTGTACTCGCCTCTTTCGCGATAACCGAAAATTCAACGTCAGATCGGTTTAAATACTTCTCCATTTCCTTTCTCTCCGTTTTTAAACGATGCCCTTCAATGAATTGCACTTTACTCTCAATTCTATTTTCTGCATCCTCGAAAACCGTTGTTGCCTGCTTGTAGTTCATAGCTTCAAACACGTTTCTAATTACTTAATTCATTTTTATCTCTTTTGAATCAAGATTAGATTAAGACCATTAAAATAGATGATGCTAGCACATGGCGTTCCAATGAGCTCTAATTCTTCTATTAATTTCTTTTTCTATCTGCGCAAATGTGACCTGTTCTGGGAGTTAGTTAATTACTCGGTGGTTATACAAATATAAGCTTATTCGTAACCTCAAATATCAATTCTTTGAAGTGCACGGGATTTCGAGGGTACATTTGTCTTATTTTCCATCGAGTCAACTTAAAGTTAATCCTTCATTTTTTTATATCAGTGGTTGTCAATGTCAGTCTTCGTATTGTTTCATGGCACTGAAATTTGGGTATTAGGCGAACTGATTTGCCACTAATCTCAGACCTACTTTTGGTAAGGACCTCTATTGGAAATTGGTTGGCCTAAAGGGCACCCCTTGAAGTTAACGATGGGCTCTGTCGTCCACTCTATTCATTAGCCATTTCTCCATTTACTTCCAACAAATGTGTAGTCTCCTGAATGTCCACGGCTTAAAGTATGGAAGATGAATAGATGATCTCTTGTAAAATTCCCTCAATTTTAAAAGTGTCACGTATTCATCTTAGCTTTAACCATAGCTGGAGTATGACAGATGTTTGTCTTTTTATCGGATTATGCACTTTTCCCCTTTTAAAAGGTGATCAAAAGGCTATGGCAACGCCGTCGAGTCTGCGTGACTGAGGACAATGAATTTTGGCTCTACCATGCCGATGATACAAAGCCTCCAGTTCGTCTATCCCTTCTCACTTGTCAACTTAAATTACCTCCCACTTCCAGCCAACACCCGGATCCACAATCCCAATCCTCTTATGACACATCAGTTCCCAATACAGACGCGTCGGATAGTGGTCTTTCTTCTAGTAATGTATCTAAACGCTCATTCTACCTTGTTTCAAGTACGTATATGTTAGATACATATGTGTGTGTGTATATACGCATACACGCGTGTGGTTCCTTTCGTATATGCCTTGTTATCTCTTTCTAGATAATAGAACCTATCAATTCCAGGCAGAAGATGATAAGGATTTTGAAGAGTAATTCTTTTTGCTATTGAAGCTTAACATGAAAAAAGTGGCATTAGTTTAAATTTCACATTTTTAAATGTAGATGGACCAATGTGTTGTCTAATGCACTGCAAGCTGCTTTTAATGAAGCTATGCTCAGTTCTGATTGTCAAGCATCACTCTCAGATCATGACATTATGACCACTTCTATGCATCGACATTCTCGTCGCAATGTTATCGGCAATGATGGCGACCTTCTCGAGTGAGTGGGCACTCTACTTAACTCATTTCAGTGCTGAAGGGATTCTCTAAAGTCATGTTGTTTATTTCAGATCATCGCCTTCCTCTACTCTCGGTTCAGATGATGGAATTTTGAACCTTAATAATAATGGTCTCTCTGGTGCTGCCCTCCATCAAAGTATTCAGAGCGTCATGCGATCAAAAGTGCCTGGCAATCTAGTTTGCGCCGATTGCAGTCGACCATGTTAATTTACTCTACTTGCCTTTTTTAATAATAATTAATCAAACCCCACTTTCTTCAAACTGCACTTTTTGTAGGTCCGGAGTGGGTCAGCATAAATCTCGGTGTGTTAATCTGTTTGGAATGCTGTGGAACCCATCGAGAGCTTGGTGTTCAGTGCTCTCGTACCCAGTCTCTTGTTATGGATGATCTCAACACTTCCCAATTAATGGTACGTTTTTTCTCCACTCGATGGTTTAATTACAATCTTTGGCTAGTTATTGAATTCAAATTTAACCTAGCTTCGAAATTAGCCTCGTAAGCTGTTTTGCCGTTTCGGATTGGGTTCTTTTGAGATTAACCCCATTCCACCTCTTAGTTACGTTTTACATTTTTTTTAGCTCCCCCGATTTATTGGAAATAAAATGTTCAATGAAGTCTACGAATCAGGCTTGCCAGATGGTGTGAAACCGGTCCCAGATTCAGATAGCACAAGGTCAGTATTTCTAATCGTTATTGAATTTTAATGTGCCTTTTAATTCCTTTGCAGTCGGCGGGTTTATATCCATTCCAAGTATCTTGATCGTAAGTTCGTCATAAAGCGATGTCAGGAAGGTGAAAGCGGGGTTGAAATCTTGAATGCCATCGTCAATGGTGATTTGCGCCTCTTGATTCATGCTCATGGCGAAGGTCTAGATCTCAGTTCTTCAGTTGATGTTGCCGCCGATTGTGACACTATTTCAGATGTCAAGGTAGCAGCTGGTGATACTCCGCTACATGTTTCAATATCTGCGGTAGCTGCTGCAGTTCAACATCACAAACCTTCGAGTGTTCGTCTTGCTATTGTCCAATTTATTCTTCAGAATGTGCCTTCCGCTGTGTAAGTTGGGGGTCAGATCTCCGTACTATTAAAAAAGTAGGCCAATGAAGTTGAATAGGTTGCCTTGTCACCTATTACCCTTTAATTACTGACAGTCTTCATGTACAACAAGTTAGAGAAAACAGCTACATTGGAATTTGAAGGCATTCTATTATATGGAATCTCGCCCCCAAAGCAGTCTGACTGCTATCCCCAGGGACCTGAAACGAGATACGTGAGAGAGGGAGAGAGAGAAGAAGAAGAAGAAGACGGAACATGTTTATTCAATTCGAGCGATAGTATTACTGCCCTCCGGGCCATTACTTAGTGCTCTTTATGAACATTTCAAAGCGACTTTCTTAATGTGCACTGAGTCTTGTTGGCGGTAGAGGCCGTCGATAAAGCACTGGAGAGACAACAGTGCTGCATTCTTTGCAACTACGCCTTTCATGAGAAGCGTTGGCTGATTAGTAGGTAATGCTTGGGAGGAAAATAAATAGAGACTAAGGAGGTCGAAGTTGTGAGTGGAGCTTAAAGAGGTGTAAGTTGCGTAATTTAGGCCTGAGGAGTGCAACATTCTTTAATATTCCCCCCCCCCCCCCCCCCCCCCCCCCCCCCACCCCCCTCCTCCATTTCAATGGGATTTTTCTCGTGATATTCAAAGTCTTTTAGCTTCCATGGTTGTTGGATGCAATCTGCAATGAATACTGGATAGATTTTCATAAATACCTACTTTACCGAATAAAACGCACATATTGGAATTTAAAAAATTGCGAGACCGATGTGGAGTATCCAATTTGTAGTATTTGGCGTTTTTATTTTGTAAAACGGTGCTCTGTTTAAATTATTACTACTTCTATAGCAATCTCCTGCTTCGTGCTAACAAGGATGGTGAAACAGCTCTCCATTATGCTGCAAAGTACGCACTTCCAGATGCTCTTCGATTACTTCTGGGCGTTGTTGGGGGTGTAGGCGTCGGTGCATTGGGAGCCGTTGTGGGTGAGGTCCATCCAAACATGATTTTAACCTCCGAGAGCGCCTCGAAACAGTCCCCGCTCTCCTTGATTGAATCACGTTTGTCTTCTCCTGGCACCACTGAATTGGAAACTATACGCCTCCGGCGATGTGAACGCTTACTTCACCTTGCTTCTGATGCTTTCGGAGATTCCCCGGTGGATAGTATTGATTTCCCTACTGCTCAGGATCAGGAGACAGCAGCGAGAAAGCGTTTACTCGAGGAGATTGATGATCTTGATAGTGTTCGGTGGGATGAACAGTCGATTGGCTTGGAGGATGCTGACGAGGATGAATTGAGTAGGACCTTTAGAGAGTCACTGGCTGGAGCTCTAAAGTCAAAGTCTCCCACTGTCTCTCCCAGTGGTGGTGAGTTTGTTGCTTTGTCTACTTATTAAATAGGAGTGCCAAGGTCAAAATGGTCTATTCTACCTTATAAGGATGTTCACTTTATTCAGGATGTGGAATTCATTAAATGCGAAGATTTATTGGTTGAGCAAGAGACACAATGTATCCCAAGGCTTATAATATAATTTAAATAAAAATTGCGTTTGAGATACAAAGGACACATGGCGAGTCGGTCTTCCCAACCATTGTTAGAAAATAATGAGTTGCATGGGGCATTGTGAATCAAAGCTGTTCAATAAGCATCGAATATCATATGCAAAGATTTACTGCAGCAATGGGGTTGATAATGAATTTGCTCTTAGTATCTCTCAGGTCTTTCCTCTCTTATTTTTTTCATTTATCGGACTTACTTTAACGATTAGTTCGAGAATATTGCGAAAACACGTCGAGTTAGCTCTATTTTAGTTACCGTTGTAGGAATCAACTTTCAACGCTTAAAATAATTGAAGTAAACGGGCAATCCCATCACTTTGTAGATGACTGGCGAGGGTCAGGTGCTAACAACAATGGCTCGGGCAGTAGTTGTCGTCGTCACAGTCATAATCGCCTCATTAGCACTCCTAAATCTTCCGCAGCATCTGCTCTTGCAACCCTTCCAAGAAAGAAAGGCCCTGCGCCTAAACCTCCTTCAACTGAGGTTAGTGACCCCTTATCTCCCTCTCTTGCCCGCNCCCCCCCCCCCCCCCCCCCCCCTCCCCCAGTAACGCTGAATCTGGTGCTACTATCAAATGAAAATCCGTTTGTTTCAGGTTTATGGATGTATAATATCGCTTCCACCACTCCTATGTTTTATGTTTCATGGGCTAGAAATTGTTAATTCTAACGTTGCATCGAGCAGTTATCTCATTCAAAATGCACACAATTAAATGATTGTACTTAAATTAGTAGTAATTGGTTTTGATTTTTATTATTACAGCATAGTGGTTCATCAGGAGCTTGGTACTCTGGTACGACACTCGACTCTCGCTATTCCCGCACATTGGCAAGCAATTTCCGCTCTACGCCAGAGCAGCCCTCACAATCACCACCTCCTCCCTCAGACCACATCGAAGTCCTTTTGGACGTTTTGGAAGAACATCCTGACACGACCAAAACCTCCCCTGGGCACCTTGATGGCTATCAAATAGCGCACTCGCCTCCTGTTGCCAAGGCGAGGGTCCGAGTGCCAACACCAAAGAAGACTCGGCCTCAGCGAGCCCTGGCTATATATGACTGCGAAGCCGAAAACCCCGACGAATTGACTTTTAAGAGGTCGGAAATAATCGTTGTGGTAAAGGATATCGAAGTTAATTGGTGGGTAAGTATCGCCAAATACACACTACTTAGACGATATAAGTAGCTAATAATTTTAAACGGTGTCCATCTTGATTTACAGCTGGGCTACATTGAGGGCCAACCACATAGGAGAGGACTCTTCCCATTGACACATGTCAAACTCCTTCCTCAATGATATTAATTGTCGATATCGATCGAATAATCAGTCATCTCTTCTCATGCCTTCCGACTCATTTTCTCTCTTTTTCTTCTGTGTACATTTGAGTGCAACTCTCTTGTCGTCTTCTTGTCTGATTGTGTGCATGGCTCTTTTATCGGAAAAGTCTCTCTTGTTAATACAATCTCTATCGGGATGAATTTTAATCCTAGCGAATTGAAGATACAAAATGATCTCACTTTATTAATGATTTTTTTCAATGAAGAGTGGGAGTGGGGGGGGGGGAATCTGGTAACTATTTAGTGGTCAAAATAGTTTCCTCCTATTGCGGCTAGTTATAGAACGTAGATTGCGTGATCGATAGCTATTTGCATCCAAGTGTAACCTGATCTAGTTTACTTTATCTGAATCAATTGAATAGCATTGTTCATATCTTCGATCAGGAGTCGGTGTTAATTAGGGTGTATAAAGTGAATGACATTGTGGGAATTGCATGAGAGCAGTTTTTTTCTACGAATAAAATCTGTTTTGGCAAAATGGGAATATCCGAATTGGTAGACCAGGAGTTGAGGGAGGAAAATGCGACAGCGATGTGGATGCAAAGGAGAGATGGGGGTTGAGATGCACAGAGAGAAAACGAATGGAGGTCAAGGGGGTAGAGACTGAAATGTTAGACGACAGGAGTGGATCGCAAAGTCTGCTTAGAGCTGCATCACTGGAAGACAGAGCCTACTGTAAATTTTCTTTGGCTGCGAAGAAGATAAAATTACCCCCAAAGAAGCCGATCCGTTTTTCCATGTGATTTGAAACAATTTATGAAGTAGCAAAACATCTTCCATCATAAAGCTTCCATATTGATATTTCAATTAAAAGTAACAACGGTCTCAAGATCGAGATAAACCTATCACAAGGTAATAAGCGATAAAAACGTGATGCGGCCTTACATTTGAAGAAACGTTTATAAACCTGGTTAGTACAGACTTTGCCTGATTTTCCGTCAGTAATTAGTTCGTTTCACAAAAGACTATTTTATGCCTGCTTATCTACTTTTGGAATATTTTTCCGCAGAATTATCGAGTTAACACAATTTCGGCCTTGAAAATCCCACTAATAATTAATTCACAATGAAAAATTTCAAATTATACAGCTTTCACGCCCTTAAATATTCTATTGTTTGAATGCTTATCCCATTATAAATAACTTTATTCCTTCGATTGTCCTAATAACAATAACCAGTTAAATGACCAATCGATGAAATACAAAAGAGGATTGGCGAACAAGCCCAAAGTAATAAACCACTGCCTCAGTAACTATCCACTTAGCTGCAAGCCACGTGAATTTCAGCTATTCTCGCGTTTTAAACAGGATTAGCCTTTTTCTTCAACTAGTTAGTAATTAGATAATATTGCCAACACCTGTTCAATCAGGGTTTCATTTAATTAAATCATAGGCTAGAATGAATAGTGGTATAAATGCGAAGGCCATATTAAAACCGAAGCAAAAATTCGAATCCATAAACAGCCTTTATTTAGATTCATTTAAATACTGCAAATTAGAGAGCAATTGAAGTAGACAATTATAGGTAAATATGCTGCTTAAAGTGCAAATAACTTTATTTAAGAAAGAAGAGGGACAAAATGACTAAGGTAAGAATTTGTTGAAAGAACGCAGGAGTGGGGTGGGGTTTGGGCAGGAAAGAAGAGAAATTGGAGAGAGAGAGAAAAAACAGGGCTGATATGTTTGAGGAGTTGACTCAGGCACATTAGGTTAACACAGCCTCAATAGTTCACTGGAATGTTTGTGTATAATGAATGCAGAGGGTTTGGAAATTGCGATTTCTTTCATGGGATGAATGAGGAAATTACCACAAACTGTATGAATGGAATTCTTTCTGACTAAGCCGATAAGATTGTCGTTCAGGGTAATAATATGTCTCTACTGAGTTAAAACGGCATCTAAAAAGGGTGAGAAAAATAACGGGATAACTTAGACTGCCAAAGCAGAAAAAAGGAAATTCAGTGGAAAACGTACTGCCACTGAGGAGCCGTTTTGATTGTGATCCTCTTTGAGAGCAGAAGACGTGGCTAATCCACTCAACATCCCAGGCAACAGACCTGCGGGCAGACCTACAGAAGCAGCAGCCGCAACAAAAGCGGCCTGCTGTTGTCTCTGCTGATTCTGCTGATGCTGTTGTACGGCATTATTAGCCACCATAAACTGAAATTTCATACACGCTCTTACTTAGTATGACTATATAAAAAGGAGGCGTTTTTAAGAATGAAAATAATAAGAATACTTGTTGCTGATTTTGAAGAGCCGAGTACGACGATTGTGAAGGATTGCCATTAGAAATGACTGAACCAGTTGGTGAAGAACCTTGAGTCGTAGCCCCGGCAGTTGATTGTGTGTAAGCGGCTGATGATCCATTGCCGTTATTGTTGCCTGAGTTCACCAAACCCAAGGCGTTTTGAACTTGCAGAGCGGCCTGTACAAGGTGAAGTTGATTAGCTACATGGTTGCTTCCTGATTGGCTTGTTGGCGTTGTACCATTAGTGTTCATTGGCAGAAGAGGCTAATGCAATGAATTACAAGCTACAGTATAATTTCCATTTAATGGGGGGGGGGGGAATTAATAGTTACGACAATTCGCAAATGTACAGTCGGTGACTCTGGTGTATAAACTAAATGGGAAAGAATTCTTAAGATTTTTACATAATTAACTATTGGTTTACTCAAATAATTGTGAACTAAATAGTCAACTGGGTTATTCAACTCAAGCGTAAGATAAACGCTAAATTAATCAATTAGTTAGTCACCTTGAATTTATCTGAGACCAAAAAAAGCTGCATACAAAATTTATACTACTTCAAATTTGACTAATAATATTCCTTGTTCAAACTATCGTGTTCTTCGTTTTTTTTTCTATTTATACTCTGGCCACGACTCTCGGTAAATTGACGCTTTCAAATTTACATTGTCTAATAAATGTCCAATAATAATGGAGCACTCTAATCTAATTTTACAATTTTGGTAATTTTAATAGTAGGGACTCCTTGAAGTAATCACACTTTACTTTTCACTAAATTGAATATGGTTTTCGATAGAGTACGGACTTTGAGAGAAGCCAAATGCTAATGCAAATGAGAGCACAGTTTCTGATGCTGAATGTTGGAAAAAGAACAAAACCCATTCATCTGCCATTCATGGTTAATTTTCAGGCTAACCTCTGCTCTGAATACAGCACAAAGTCTCGCCAATGCAGTTGGCAGATGTCAAACTTACTCTGAAGTTTGACGCTTGAAGCAGAGTAGCTGGTGCACCAAAAGACGCAAATAAACCAGACGTGTCATACCCAAAGTGCGGGTTAGCTGCCCATTGGTTGGCATCATTTGCTGCCATCAGAGCCATTGTGGTCGGATCAACTGTAAAATTGTCAAAAATGGTGAGTTTACAAGAGGAGAAGGAAAATATTAGCCCATACCAACAGAAATTGACTTACAGCCTGGTAAATGGGGGAGGAAATTGGGTGGCAAAACCCCGGGGAAACCGGCTTGCTGAGTAATAGGAGAAAGACCAGCTGGGTTACTGGTTGCTGGCAGAAATGAGAACCCATTAACTGCTCCAGGCACTAATGGAAATCCAGGAGGCCACTTCGGTTTGGTTACTTTGGTGTTGCTTCTAGCGAATTCAAGACGCATGTGCTGATTTCCTTCAGGGTCAAATTTGATTCCCTATGTTAAAATTTAGTGGATCAAGAAATGCATTTGCACTTTTAGAACACTTGTATCGATTTTTTTTAATGAAGGTGAATGACTTCACAACGGCCATGGATAGGTGTACGTACAATGTGTGGCCTGGACAATGTTAATACTCTAATTTAACTTCATTTTTAAATCCTGGTTAGTAAAAGGTGCTTCCGATCAATTTTTGTAACTCACATATTCACCTTATAATGAACAAAGTGCGAACGAAATTATTTTGCATTCGAGTAGATGGTTTGTGCGCGAAATGAATGATGGAATAATTAGTGGTTAAACCTAGCAGTAAAGTATTTCAGTTTTTAGATCAAGTCCCAGTTACATAATTGCGTTAAGCAGAACTTATTGCCTAGCAATCTCCATGTGCTTTAAACAAGTGCAGTTCGTGTGTTCATTTTGTGGACTTAATCACGATCTTCATTTACATATGGCATGCTGAAGGGTCACAATTTCTTATCCAATAGGCAGTGTCGTCAAGTAGTGTTTGTTCGTGCAGCATGACACGCGCGTGGTAGTGTGAAGGGTAGTAGAGGCAGAAGTAGTAATAGTGTCATTCGTGTGAAGTGATGAATTATTAATAAGTATGTGTATGTTCTACCAATACATGATGGAGAAGACAAAAGTGATGTATTATAACTAAACCAAACAAAAGCCACACACAAAATGGTACGAACTGTCCAATCAACCTTTCCCCGCGCTGTTGCTGCAATAAATAATCAGTCTTATTGGATGAATTTTCACATATTGACTCACGTGAGCCAGGCGCAATCAATAAGCACATACCTGGAGTTCGTTTAAAGCTTGTTCCGCCTGTTCCCTTGTTTCAAATGTCACAAATCCGACTGGCTAAAACAAGTAAATAGAAATTTATTCAATTAATTTATTTATACTATAACATCTTTCCAAAGAAAATAACAATATCTCTTTTGTCTTCACAGTTTAAAAAGTGTTTCAAATATTCTTGAATAATTTCTAAGTCTTATATATCAGTTTTGAGATGGAACCTGAAAATAATAAAATTGCAATCATATGCGCATTGCGATCGACTAACACGATCTTCAACATATTGATATCTCATCAATGAACTACCCATGGCAAATGATTGCAATTTAATTAGAAACGCTTCAAATCTGTGCATTGGTCGGTGTGGAATGATTTAATGAGCTGGACTTTGTTAATATCGTATATGCCATTTGATGGAGAGATGAAGGGATTAAATGGTGAAATCAACTAAAGCAACGAATCAACCAGTGAAAAAAAAATATCAGACGTTGACGAGAACTTGCTCAAGAAACCATAAAGCTTGAAATCCGGCTTATAAACCAATGAACTAACTGTGAGACTCATCACGTACAAGTATAAACTAAGATTCAATTAATCAGAATCCCTTGATTGTATTCCAACGCATTTTCCATCCCAAAACTTTATTTTTATGGGGGCTTAACGTCACTCAAACCTGGTTGCTTTCTCATGAAGAAACTTGCAATTTATTGACTCTATTGCAGGTTATTGTGGAATATGCGATATAATACAAATGCAAGCGGGGAAAGTAGATATGAGAGCGCATGCAAATGCGGTTGACGCATGCCTTTCGAATTGAGTGAGAATCACCAAGTACTCTACCCTCCGTTTTTTCGCAAATAATGGTTGATAAAATCAAGCCCAATTTCCGGTGTAAATAGGTAATTAATCACTTTATTGATTCAGGCAAGCAGGTTCCTTACCGCAGTAAGCTTTCCATTCTTCCCGGCGGGTTTGAGAGTAGACGATAAATATCCCTATTTGTCCAAATGCCGTGGAGGGGGAGATCAGAGCCCGCGGGCACAATCGAATTTAGATTCCATTGAAATTCGGCAAAATTTTATATGTTTGGGGGGGGGGGGGAAGGGGGGTGGAAGAAAAACATTTATTTTTATTTCTTTGTAAGACAAGGACAAATATTTTTATTAATAATAAACTCATTGACATATTAAAACGTAATTATTATAATACGCTAATCAATAAAATTCAATTTCCAAAATATTTAAAAAAGACTGACCTTGAAGCTTCGGAAGAGGAGATATAATTCACGAGATTTGGTATCGAGGGGTAAGCCGCTTACAAACAACGTTCGAACCTGGTGCTGAAAGAAAAATATAAAATAATTTAAATCAGTAAATTGAAGAAATTGGTGCTCGTATTCCGTCATTTTCTGTGTTTTTAAGACAACGAGCAATTGTGATGAGAAAATGTTGGCTGATACGATCGTGAGAACGTAGGCTTAGATCCCCCGTCTTTGTGAACAAATTATTTTGTGTGAGTGTTGTTTAGCTGCACTAGGAACCACAATCAGCACTAATTTTAGATATATTAAAATGCAATTTATTCAGGAGTTGCTTATTCTATCCTATAAGAAGGTCATTGTATGAAAAATTTACGAAAAGTGATTAATAATTGAAACAGTTTGCTGAAATTTGATCCGATTAAGTTGCAAAAAGTAAAACAATTATTTAGTTTAAGGAGCAATTACCATATAGTTAAACAAACACACGTGAAGATGATATTCAAAAGTGATATATGATCAGGTTGTTGAAAAAAAATGTTTGCATTTTAATACGTATCAAATTTAAAAGGTTATTCCACTTCAAATGATTAAATTAATTTAGGCATATACTTTACCTTATTCAAACTGTTACATTGTACTATTTTGTTCGAAAACTTATTGTTTGCATTAAAGTGGTTTTAGAGGAGGAAGTAACAACCTAAATTTACTTTCGTAGCGATAACACGTTGCTGTCAAATCAAAGGTCTACCAGTGCTTAATCGTAGGTTGGAATGACACATTAATATTAAATTAATCGAGTCACTTTGGACAGTGATAGAATGCTTCCCACAGAACATTCTGAATCGGTTTTCCAGCCAATCAGGTTGGAAAATTGCCAGTGAATGATTTTCACTTAGAACCTAATCTTGAAGTTCCTTCGGGTGAAAACACATTGATCAGACGAAATTATACATTTAAGAATACATTTTTAGGTTGATTATCAAGCAGAAAAAGTATACTTTAAGTACAGCCAAAGTTTTGCATGATTAAATGATTCTTGTTGTTCTGCTGTTACATCAACGGACATGTTCGTTTGACGTATTAATAGAAGTACTGCCGTTTATTTGGAAACTCAGCGCGAATCAAACCATGCAGACTCTTTGATACCCGGCTTCTAGACTACTCTACTAAGAACGATGTATGACATTCAATCCTCGTAAATACTAGGAATATTACTAATTGTAGATTCAATTTTTGTCATTTCCGTACAGTTTGGAAAGAAAAACAACGGTCACTCTACAGATAGCAGATGACCTTTAAGACGAATTAGTATGCACTGTTTATGTAGCAGAAACCATGTCGTCTCAATTCCAGCGAGACATGCTCGAGTAATTTACATTTCTCAATTTGTGCATATACGCAAGTCTAACGGCCAATTTGCATATATGCTCGCATGTGTATTTGCTTACCAAGCTTATTTACCTTTAGGTTACCATAGCAACCAAAGCCCTAAAACCACTCAAATTTCCATTGTGTGTGTGTGCTCCAAATAGAATGGGTTGGAGTAATTTTAGAGTACTATAAGTTCACAACAATTTGAGAGTAAATTTTAAATAAATTCTAAAACAATGCCTTGACTTAAAGCGTCAGCACTAATTTCAGAACCGTTTGCACTATATGCTTTAGGATGACTAAAAAATGGCAAAATTATAATTTGACTTGTATGGTCAATTATTGAAAGGCCTCAAGGAGAACAAAACAACTTTTTGTCACTTCATTCTCGCTGGGAAAATATTATCTAAGGAATAAATAAATTTGAAATCAGTTTGGAAATTTTCTCATAAGTTCCTTCACAGCAGAGTACAGTATGATTGAAGCAAAAAATAGCAAACATTAACTAAATTGCGCTAATAGAAAGAACGCCAAAGAATCGCATACTTTCAAAGTTTATACCGCACTCGGGTCTCATTTACCGTGGGAATAACCTGAACGGCTCTTACACTCACTGCTCATACTCATAATACTCGATTTTTGAGAAGGAGCAAAAAAGGAGGAGATAAAATCACAAAGAAGACCACTGCAAACGAGTACCGCAGAAAATGCTGCTTGTAACTCTAAATATGCTTAACTCGGTTCAAAAAGGAAGGGCAACTGCAATACCGGGTTTTCCCCTAATTATCACTATCATTGTAACTTATATTTGTTATATTAACCAGATTTAAAGGTCAATATTGGTAACCCCCAAATGACCAATTAAATTAACGACATTTATAAATTCAAAAGGAAGGCTTTAAGAAGGAAAGAAATCAATCAGTTTGTTAGGAATGAATTATTCTAATAATTGCAGGTAATTGCCTTCCAAGGCACATTTAATCCCTATTTATCATTCACCTGATTGAAAAGTCATTAGCCAACTTTTAAAGGTGATCGACGATAAAAAGGTACATAATTGTTGAACTTAATCAACACATCTTTCCTATCATTTCAAAGCCAATATACCAATTAGTCATTCATTAAAAAGGTATATAACATCAAATTACAAGAAATTATTATCTTTAAATATCATCCTTAATGAATGGCATAGATTTTTTTTGAAGAAAATGGATTAATATACGAAGTAGAGAAACAAGGTGAATGCATTAGTTACCCATTTAACGAAATGAACGGTCAGAAATTCGTCACCGGTGAGTTAAAATATAAATTGACACAAAATATCGATAAAATGAATAGTTGGCTAATATAAGCCTTAAGTTCGGAATAAGAAAGTTGATAAATAAACTTTTTTAGAACACAAGGTGATTCAAGACGTACTGCAGATAATAAGGACCGAAATTGCAAAATCAAATCTACTGGGCAAAAATCGATAAAAGAACTTACATCAAGGGCATCACTTCCAGATGCCGTCCCGACGGTGTGTAGTGAATCGACGGATTGAGAAAGAACCATCATTGAGTCTTCGTTAAGGTTTGCTGCGCAACTTGAATCATCAACATCATTAGCCACACGAGAACCTGAGCTGGAACCATTCGAGAGATGTTGTGATTGTGATGCGGCAGGGGGAGCAGGAGGTAACATTGAACTCGAGGACATGGATTGAACCTGTTCAACGCTTACTCCTAGGTGTTGAACGTCTTTGGATGTACTTTCGATGTGCTGCTGTTTAAGATAGTCTTTGGCTTTCTGAAGCAGGCCGTTTTTCGGCACCGCCTTATAGGCTTTCCGAATTCCTAATGCCACAGCTCCTTTAGTCTTTTGATACCTTGTTCCACCTTCACTTTGTGAACTATCGCTGTCGCTATAGATTCCACAGTTGAAAACTTCTCTTCGAACCACCTTGTCTGTTAGAGAATCAATAGTTGCGGTAAAAATCGATATTCGCAGCTTAATGTTATTAAGAGTGACTGCTTAAGCGGAGGACAACCGTGCAGACACCCCTAAAATGAGAATTTGGACCCTACTCACCCTGCTATTTTTATTGCGCACTACCACCATGGCTTCAGGTAATCTGATTGGACCACGTGACGTGGGCGTGTATTGGTTGGCCTCTTGCAGGTGTGGCATTGGTCCCCTAGTGACGGAATTTCTGATTGGCTTATCGAAATTAGAATTACAGGTGATCTATAAGTACACGCACAGTGCTGCTATTTGTAATGAAATTGGTAACCATTAGAAAATAGTATATTTTATGGAAATTTATAATGATAAAATTCTGCTCCAACGAAGTATCTGGAACTTAGAGTTTAAATTAAAAAAATATTTAATAACAGTAGACGATGAGAGAGGATTTTTACTTTACGCATTGTAAAATTTTAAAATAAATACTCAAAAAAACTCAGACTTTTGAGATTATTATGTTTAATTGTATCTATTCTTTGAATATTGTGGGTTGAAATATTAAGATACGTGATATTTTGGTGGAGGAATGGTAAACTTAAAACATATTTCATCAATAATAAATTAAATAGGAGGACTCACTTGCCTATAATAGTAAAATAGGTCATTTTGCGAGCTTGGCGGGATTGATGATCTCTGACAAATTTCTTCTTTGATCTACTAAAAGATCTCAAATCAATAGAATCGTGCAAATTCTTTAAAATACTTGATTCGTGATAGTTAATAGACGTGAATGGAAAAAAAATAGTATCAACATCTGTAATCATGCTCTAAAGACATCTGATTCATACAAAAAGATAAGCCCTTTCTCACCTCCTTCTCATGATTACGTCTACAAAATGGGAGGGGTAGCAGTGTCTTAATTGACAATGACAATAGAACTGATGTGTCCATGGCGGGTTACCACGAGGTGTTATTGGTTTTTATGTAAAATTTTCTAGTCAAGCTTTTCTCCACAATCGGCTCTCTCAAATCCCTAAATGCCTTCCACGTAATGATAATTGGGAAAACGTTGAAATAAGGGGGGAGGAGGGGAGGGATGAGGTTTGGAGAAGTTCAAGTGTCGGAAGAAGTAGATTGAGATTCTCATGTAGTGAAATTTTGAATGCTCTATTTTCTTAATGTTTAAAACGCCAATTTCCTGATTGGATTTCTAATTTTCTTGGACGAACTTAAACTTTAATTTTCAGACCTCATTGATCGGACGATTCATTTGAATCCTTGAATTTATTCACATCCACTTGTGAATAAACGATGCTAGGTGGAACCTGCATATTTCCCTTCGACAGTACAGTCTTCAATAGCGTTCACTCTTTCGTACTCATCCAAATCTTTTTCCTTTGCTATTTTCCGATTTCACTTTCAGTCATTAGGGGTGTGTGATAGACTTACCTCCACGTTGTGCACCCTGGGCAACGTATACTCATACGGCAAAAAAGTCTATTAACTGGCAGTTGACTTCTGACTCCAAACTACCATCGACTTTTTCTACTTTTGTGTCTGTCTCTTTAACATCTTTGAAACACTCTTCTGTTGCACCCCCCCCCTCTAGACTTTTTTCGATTTGATGTCCCTCTTGACTTTTTTCACTTTGATGTTCCTTCTCCTCTGTGGAGCCTGAAGTGAACTAAAGGGTTAATGATAACTACCAAAACGCCTGCCATTTGATATAAATAAAAATAAATGAATAAATCTTTCAGTCATTATGCGTTGGTCTCTCAGACAACCGTTCCCGACCTTCTGGCGCTTGAAGAAGGCACATTGTTCTGGGACACTGCGCCTCTGGAAATATCTTTTCTTCAATGTGCAAGTTCAGTTTGGATAAGAGATTTCCTTTTACCTTCAAGGTGTGTGACAATGACTAAAATGAAATTAAATAGATGTCAAAATTTAGCATTTGCCATTGATGCAATAAATTTGGCTTATAGTAAACTTATTACCACAGGGATGGAGAGAGACAGTGATCTTTAAAGACTATTTTAGAAAAATAAGTGCAAATATGAAGGTAACGAAATAAAATGTTACAAATCTACGATTGCTAGCGTACAGCTTCTGAATGTTCACGTAGGTGTACTCTACCGTTAAAAAAGTGAGTTCCTTTGAATGGAACTTCATTTACCCTCTTCAAGGCAGCAATAAAGAAAATATTTGGTCATGACCCCGAAAAGAGTGAAGTGGCAGAAAGGAGATTGAAGGAGGATGATTTGAGATCAGGGAAATTTGATCTTTGGATTCAGGTTACACTCTGTGGGGCTTCAATGTTTAACTTTTAGAAATTTCACTGGTGTCCATGTTTTATTGACTGCAATATTAATTCCTATGGTTTTGAAAGACTTTAGACGTTTTAATTTACTAATGGCTTTGTTATAAGCAGATGATGAGTGCTAATATTATTTAAAAATTGAGTTTACGACTAAAATTGAATACAAAAAATGCACCTATTGGCAAATAAAGAGATTTTATCAAGTTCTTTTTTAATCATTTTATCTCCAGTATTTGCCAATTTTACTAAGTGTTCCCTTTTAGAAGAAAATGTAATTCTAAATGGGAGGGGAGGGGAGGGGGGGTAAAGGAGATATTGGGGGCTATTTTCTCTCTTTGATGATTGATGGAAAAGGAGGCTCCAAAATGATGGACATTCTCAGTTATCAGCTATTCTCTCAATGCTTCACATTCCATCTATCTACAGTGCATCATGTTGTCACCATAAATGCGGAATTAGTGCTCTTTAGGCCAAACTAACCATCGGTTTTAAGCTATGTAACGAGGAAGAACCAGTGAGCATAGATCTGTATTTGTCAAGCAGATATCCACACTTAGATACCGTTTCATATTTTACTTGACAGTTCCATTGGTAAATGCAGAATTTAAGTCTTTAACTCATGCTCATATCGTGTTCTTAATTGAAACATTGAAGGACAATGCAAATTGAAAGGATCAAGTGTAACAAAGTGTGTATTTGCACCTTCGCTAACAGTTGAACAGCAGATTATTCCCTGTGTATGGTATTGATTATGAATCGAACGGACAAATTCGTTTAAGTTTTGGCCTTTTTAGCATCAACTATCTAAGTCAATAGAATAAATGAGTTAATATGGGAGATTGAAAGTATATTAAGTCCTAACCACCATGAAAAAAGCTTGCACAATTTAAAAATATTCAATAATTTCTCTAATTAAATTTAATTTAGCTTCAACTATGTTGGATGAAATCGAGGCATTTTCAGTTTAGCGTCCGCCCACCTTCAGCATTTCAATTCATCGCAAGAACAAGGATATGGAAATGCAGAAAATGTCATATATATATATATATATATATATATATATATATATATATATGCGTATTTGTATGAAAAGTTTTATTGACGGCCACAAAGAGTAACCACGATGAGCTACCTGAAAAAGGCGTGTATGTAGAGTAAGTAAAGGAGGGAGGGAGTGGGACAAAAGGCAGGGCAGATGGTGGGTATATGCAAGTTTGGGGAGGGGAAGATCGATGAGAATAAGCCACGTGCGCATTGAGTTGGGTTGAGTGAACGTGCGCTCGCCCCCCCCCCCAATTGCTGGGTGACGCCCATTTGTATACGGTAACTAATGCCACGACTAGAAAGCGCATTGGGAGCGGAGCGAGAGAGAGAGAGAGAAAGAGGAAGAAAGGAGGTGAAGAGTAGTGTACATGAATACGAACGTTTTTTTGACAAACCCTGCTGTGAATTCATTAGAGAAAGTGGACATTATTANTTTTCCCCCCCCCCCCCAATCGATATTTACCTTACCTACTACATTAACTTTCAAACTCATGTACATTTTTTATGAGTCCAGGTATGAGTTAGATATAACCTCAATTGACCAACCTGCAATTAGTATTGAAAGAATGTGAAATTACATCTATTTAAATTTTAATATTTGTTTAACGCATAAAAGTACAAACATGAAACTCATCAGAAAGAAACGGGAATAACTTTTAATTACTTTACAGTCGCCTTTCATTAGGGAAGCAAAATTATGGAAGTTGGATCTTGTAATTGTGATACGTATTTTACGAAATTTTAGAGCTTTCCTCTGTTCTGATTTATATGTATTTATTTATATCAAATGGCAGGCATTTCGATGGTTTTCATTAGCCCTTTGTTTGACTTCAGGCTTCAC